AGAGACAGCATGAGCAGGGGAGGGTCAGAGAGAGAGGGAGGAGATACAGAATCTGAAGCAGGCTCCAGGCTCTGAGCTAGCTGTCAGCACAGAGCCTGACGCGGGGCTCAAATCCACAAACTGTGAGATCAGGACCTGAGCCAAAGTCGGACACTTAACTGACTGAGCCATCCAGGTGCCCCTCTTTTATTCTTTTTATATTATTATTACTTTAAAAATGTTTATTTATTTTTGAGAGAAAGGGAGGGACAGAGTGCGAGTGAGGGAGGAGCAGAGAGAGAGGGAGACACAGAATCCTAAGCAGGCTCCAGGCTCTGAGCTGTCAGCACAGAGCCCGATTCGGGGCTCGAACCCACAAACCAAGAGATCACGACCTGAGCTAGAGTCAGACACCTAACTGACTGAGCCACCCAGTCACCCCGTTATTATTTTTTAAAGTAGACTTCATGTCCAGCGTGGAGCCCAACATGGGTCTTGAACTCATGACCCTGAGATCCAGACCTGAGCTGAGATCAGGAGTCAGATGCTTAACCGACGAAGCCATCCAGGCACCCCTAGATTTTTTTTTTTTTTTTTTATCACATCTGAAAGCCTCTGATTTTTAACAGGGGAATTAGTTCTGTTCATGTTTTCGTGTTAACGAATATACTCAGGGTTTAGGGCTTCAGTGTTATTTTGTGTTTGTTACATATATCAGTTAGGGATGTGCTTGACCTTACCTAATGGAGTACCTGACCAATAGTTGGTTAATTAAATAACTATTTCATATTTATATGATCATGTTTGATTTGATAATGATAGGACTGTATTCTCTGAAGTTCATTACTTGCCTCCAATGCCACGGCTGGAGGTGTAACGCATGGGTTAGTATTGGTGGAGCTGCTCAGCAGAACCATCAAGGCCCCATCTCCTCTCTTTCTGCTTGCTCGCCCTTAGCTTGTGGCTTTCTACCTCCTAGAGGCAGAAGTCTTCCAGCAATCCCCGGCTTCACATCTTCATTCCACGGAAGAGGAAGGAGGAAGCTAAGGAGCAAAGGGTAAAGGGGTTTCTCCTAAGGAATCTTCTTTTTTTGTTCAGAGGTGGAAAGCCCTTCACTCAGACTTCCATTTACATCCACGTTGTCCAGAAACAGGGACATTTGGTCTCTCCTAGATCGATCGATCATCACTGTTACTTGTCCTTTGAGGCCAGCGTAGGAACTCGCCTCTCCCAAAGCTGCGAGATGTCTGTAACACCCTGAGCAGATCGGGGTTTTCTGATGCCAGAGGAAGGTGGGGTGGGGTGGGTGGTGCTTGGCAACTGATGGTGTGTGTGCTGTAACAGCTGCACAGTTTTTGTCGTTTTCTCCTGTCCCTTTACATATTTTTACTTTTATTTTTACTATTTTTTAATGCTTATTTATTTTTGAGACAGAGAGAGACAGAGCATGAGTGGGCAAGGGGCAGAGAGAGAGGGAGACACAGAATCATAAAGAGGCCCCAGGTTCTGAGCTGTCAGCACAGAGCCCTATGCGGGGCTCGAATCCACAAACTGAGATCACGACCTGAGCTGAAGTTGGACACTTGACCGACTGAACCACCCAGGTGCTCCTACACATTTTTACAAGATTGGTAGGACTCTTGTCATTTATTTCCCCCCCACTATTAATTGAGAAGGTTTATAATTTTAATAGCAGTTGCCTCCCTGTTCCTACCAGTCATAATTAAGCTTGTGTTTCTCAATTATAATATTTCTTCCAACGTGCAGAAAAATGACAGTGCCCTCCTGTATTAGGGAATTAATGCTGCCTTTGGCTATAGATAAACCCTGAAGTTTCAGCAGTTTAAGTGAGGAAGGTTTATTTCTTTTCTTTTTTAAAAAATTTTTAAATGTTTTATTTATTTCTGAGAGAGAGACAGCATGAGCAGGGGAGGGTCAGCGAGGGAGGGAGACACAGAATCTGAAACAGGCTCCAGGCTCTGAGCTGTCAGCACAGAGCCTGGCGTGCGGCTCGAACCCACTAACCGTGAGATCATGACCTGAGCCGAAGTCCAATGCTTAACCGACTGAGCCACCCAGGAGCCCCAGGAAGGTTTATTTCTTGATGTGGATGGGGTAACTCTTTCCTGTCATTGGCTTTCAAACGTGGATTCATGGATCAGGCTGCTTTTCACTTGCGATGCCACCATCTTGGATGAAATGGGTGGATGAGAGCCAACAAGGAAAAGCCATACCAGTTGCAAAAGGCACAGCCTGAAAGTGTACATATCATATCCCCTGACATCCATAGACTAGAATTCCTTCACATGGCCGTGCCCCATGGAGCTGAAGGGGAGCTGAGAAAAGCAGTCATCCGGTGGGCTCAGGGAAGGGAAATGGGGTCGTTGTCTTAGATTGTCATTCTGGTCCCTCATATATTGTGTTCTCCTCTCCCATGTAAATACACTCACCATCTCCTTCAGGGCGACACCGTCAAGTCTCAGGCAGTCACTGCATCCAGCCCAAAGTCCATAGTCTGCACGGATTCTGCATTCATCTCTGTAACGTCTGCATGTGGTTGAAAAGACATGTCATCTAAACAACGCCCGCCTTCACCACACAGTACACAGCAGTAGAGCAGGGTCAGAATGCCCACTATGGAAACGAGGAGAATGTGAGCCTCACTCAGTCACTAGGTGATAGCATTCCTGATAGTCCTCCTGTCCTGGCGGTGAGGGGACAGCCTTGAATAAGGGTAGGACAGTGCCCTAGAGGAGGCTCCTCCTTGGTCACTGTCCTCCTTGGCCTCATCTGAAGTGAGTGTTGAGGACCACACCCTCCTTGGACCAGGTTACCCTTTGAAATCTGCCTCCCATTCATTCACGGAGGTTGGGTACCCAAAGGTTGCTGAAGTCTTGAACAATCAAAGGCTTTTTTTTTTTTTTTTTTTAGTTCAGACACAAAAACTTAGTAGGCTTCTGATCTGTTTGCTTCCATGTCCCAGTAACAACATCTAAATTTCTTTTCTAGACATATTTTGCAAGCTGACTGTAATTCTCTGTCTCTTTATCCCCATACCTGTCCTTCTAACCAAAGGGCATCTATCTTAGGCTCTTCAAAAAGTAAGTGGGGGGGATTGCACTCTTCATGCACTTGTGTTAGCCTGGCTCCTCTGGGGAGTTCGAGACAGGGATGGGGCTACACACACAAGGGTTTTATTTGGGAAACGCCTGCGGGGGAAAAGGGGCAGAGTGCTGGAGGAGTGTGGGAGAGCCATCACCCTGGAGCACAAGTCTGACCTTGAGTGAAGGAGGCAGGGAAGGCAGACTAGGGGAGGTGGTGTTCTAGGCAGCCACGCAGCCCAAAGGAAGCTTGTCAAGGCGTCATGGAAGTTGCTCATCCGAAGAGTCTGGAGTCCCCTAGGAATGGGCCCGCCATGCTCAGTCAAAGGCTTGGGCCACCTCTGGGAAGCATGGCCATGGGGAAACACAAAAGCACAGGGACTGAACTGTTGGCTCAATTATGCTGTCTGTAGTTGGATGTCTGCGGAACACCTTCTCACGGCCGCCTGTGCCTTAGGTCACTTTATTTACCTTAGAAGCTTTATTAGGCTCTGTCACACAAAACTGAAAAAAAAAACAACAACAATATCCCTTGGGGTGCCTGGGTGACTCAGTTGGTTAAGCATCCGACTTCAGCTCAGGTCACGATCTTGTGGTTCATGAGTTTGAGCCCCGCATTGGGCTCTGTGCTGACAGCTTAGAGCCTGGAGCCCATTTCAAACTCTGTATCTTCCTCTCTCTGCCCCTCCCCCGCTCGCATTCTGTCTGTCTGTCTCTCTCACAAACACAAATAAATAAACATTAAAAAACAAAACAAAACAAAACAATAAGTTATTTAAAAAATCTCATCTCTTATCATTGGACCCTAGAAAGAGGTGGTTTTTCCAATCCTACGAAGTCCCGAATTTCTATATTCTCTCTATTCTCTTTCATTTTGATTTGCTAAGCACTCCATGCTTTCTTTAACCCGTTTCTTTCTCTTAACACCTTGCTGAACACAACTGCTAGCAACCAACCCCTGCTACCAATGTTCTGTCTTCCAATTTCTTTCCTTAGAGTGGCAAGGTCAGAAGGCACCAGGGTCTGCCTTCCAGTTACAGCGTCTGACAATTTGATCAAATGTTTTTCTTTTTTAATTCAGTGGTTTTTTTAAAAAAATGTTTTATTTATTTCTGAGAGAGAGAGAGAGAGAAAGAGCATGAACAGGGAAGGGTCAGAGAGAGAGGGAGACGCAGAATCTGAAACAGGCTCCAGGCTCTGAGCTGTCAGCACGGAGCCCAATGCGGGGCTCAAACCCACGAACTGTGAGATCATGACCTGAGCAGAAGTCGGACGCCTAACCGACTGAGCCACCCAGGCGCCCCTGATCAGATGTTTTTGCTCTTGCATAATGTGGATCTCTAGCCCTCCATTCAGCCTGCAGCTGAGAGCCACCAGCCCGGTAAGGCAACGACATTACATAGTTTACATTTCTGTGTCAGCACTACCCCGCTTTGGGAATAGATGTGCATGTTAGTCCTGGGAATCAATGGAATCTGTTGCAACAGGCAAACGGAGAAATCTCAGTGGCTTAATATGACACAGGTTTCTTTCTTCCTCATGTTACAGGCTGATGTGGGTCAGGGGCCCAGCCTCTTCATCTTGCAACCCTATCTCCAATCCCTTGTTTCCAGCCAGTGGACAGGAGGGAGAGGGAGAAAGCACTGGTGCTCTGTGTGCTGAGGATCTCAGAGGGGCTCAGCCTCCGACACCAATTCCAGCCTCGGGTGCCTCCTTCAGCGGCCTGACTTGGCGGCTGGATGCTCCCTAGAAGGAGTGGGAGGGAGAAATGGAGGTGGAATTGCTCGTGGGGTGGAATGCCTTTGTCCGTGATACTGCTCTGTAGCGAGGTGTGAAGGTTGCGCACCGTCAGCCAACCTAGCTCATCCCTGAACTCACACCTGTCTCTTCTTCCTTCCTTGTTTCTCCTTCTGCTGTGAGGCAGCGAGTGACAAGCACATCCAGTGGCTCCTGGGGGCAGATGGCGAAGTCTGGGTCTGGATCATGGGAGAAGGCCCTGGCGACAAGCCCTATGAGGAGATCTCTGAGGAGCTGATTGCAGAGAGGGCGCGGCTGCAAGCGCAGAGGGAGGCTGAGGAGCTCTGGTGAGAGGTGCAGAGGGGCACCGGGTCGGGGCTGAGCACAGAGCCTACGGTGGGTCCAAGCTGCAGGACGCTAGGTTGTGGGAGGGAGGGAGGATGCGCCCGGCAGCTGGCTGGCCGTTTGGAGGTCAGCTAAGATCGAGTGACCAAAGCCTCAGTCTTCCTTCAGGTAGATCTCGTGGGTTCAAATCCTGGCTCCTCGTAAGCTGATCCAGGATCTCAGTTTTCACATCTGTGGTGTGGACATAACAACACCCTTTCCATCTGGACATAGACTGGATTCACTGCGATAGTACAGATGACATGCTTTTCCTTTATTCCTCACGGAGCTGTCCCTGGGACAGTAGAGGAGTTTGGATTCATTCACCTTGGTGGCTCCTCATTCCTCTTCACCTCACCTGCATTTCCCACACGAGGTGCATAGTTGAGCTCTCAGTGAGATTTGGAGTCAGATGTCTTTCATAAGCAACTCTTAACTTTTTTTTCCTCCAAATTTGGAAATCCATATGAAGTTGAGTCTAACAACCCCCTACCATCAGCTTTGAATAACAGTATTTTATTTTATTTTTTAAAGTTTTTATTTGTTTGTTTATTTATTTATTTATTTTTGAGAGAGAGAGAGCGAGAGAGAGAGCGCATAAGGTCGGGCAGAGAGAGAGGAGGACAGAGGATCTGAAGCAGGGTCTGTGCACATAGCAGAGAGCCCAATGTGGGGCTCGAACTCCCAAATGTGAGATCATGACCTGAGCCAAAAGGAGATGCTTCACTGACTAAGTCACCCAGGCGCCCCTTAATAACAATATTTTGTTTGTAAAATTGTTAACAGCAACTCAACACCCCCCACCTGAGATAATCATGATGAGCATTTAGGCAGTACATGCTTTGTAAACCGCTTTATTCACACCTTGTTAAATTAATTAATATAGATTCACCGTGTTATTTAAGGCTACTATATAGTATCTTATTACATGCAAAACCCAACTTATGGATTCTGTTGATGGATACTTAGGTTGTTTGCCATTTGTTATGTTATAAAAATTCTCTGATGAATATCTTCTACCTACTTCTTTGTAAACTTGAGTGGAAAATAGGATTTCTGAGTCTTCCCCCCCCCCCCAGCTTCCTGAACAATTCTGTTGATTTACACTCCCATACAGGAGGGTGACTATTTCTCTCCAACTTTGCCAACGTTGAGTTTTGCTGACCTTATATTTGCCATTTTGATAGACCCAGAAATATTGTTCATAGGTTTTATATGAAGTTTTGTTGTTATGTGGTCTCTCAGTCTCCTACATGAGCTTATATCTGCTGGTGTCTTCTTGGAAGGAGACAGAAGGAGGCAGAAATCACTAAGAAGTTTCGAGATGCTCTGGCCAATGAGAAAGCCCGGATCCTGGCGGAGAAGTGGAAGGTGGAGATGGAGGACCGTAAGGCTGCCAAAGTCCTGGAGGAACGCATCCACGAGGAGTTCAAGGTGAGGCAGTGTGTGGAGCCTGTGTGTATGGCCGCCCATGCCGGCTCCCAGGCTACTGGCACCCACCTCTGGTTTGGGCATTGAATGAACAGAAATCTCACCTGTCTGAGGAAGGAGGAATTTGACACACCATTTGGGCCAATTCATGTCTCATTGGACAGATGAGGAAACTGAGGGTTAGACACAGGAAGAGACTTGCCAAGGACAAGTAGCTGGGGATAGAGCCAGGATCAGAACTCAGACCTTCTGCCTTCCAAACGAAGCGCCCTGAGAAGGGGCCTAGAAAGTGTTGAGTTTGTGGTCAGACCAGCCTGGCCTCTAGTTCCAATTCTACTGGCTAGTGCTGTGTGACCTTGGGAAGCTTGCTGAACTTCTCTGAGCCCTCACTTTCTTGTTTATAATATTCAGGTAATAACAACACCCAACTTGAGATTTTTGGAGGGTTTAAGGAGATGGAAAATGCACATTTTCTGGCCCCGGACAGAAAACTATTGGGAACTTTGCGTGCCTATTCATTCTGGGAAAGTTCAGAGCCCATGAAGGAGATTTACACTGCTCTGGTAAGAAGTTTAGGCTGCTTGAAAAACATTTTTTTTCCTGGTCCCTATTTTGCGATTTTTTTTTTTTTTACCCTACAAGAATAATACATTTTGGGGGTAAGGGTAGAAAACTCAGAAAATACAGGTAAGTGAAAAGAAGAAAGTAATAGTCATACTAAGTCTCAATAATGATATTATTTCATAAATTATATATGCATGGAATTTGTACGTTTAAACATTTTATTTTTTATTTAAAGTTTTTAATGCTTTATTTCTGAGAGAGAGACAGAGAAAGAGAGAGAGAGAGAGCATGAGCAGGGGAGGGTCAGAGAGACAGGGAGATACAAAATCTGAAGCAGGTTCCAGGCTTTGAGCTAGCTGTCAGCACAGAGCTGGAACCCATGGACCATGAGATCATGACCTGAGCTGAAGTCGTATGCTTAATTGATTGAGCCATCCAGGCACCCCACGTTTAAACATTTTAAAAGTATTTTTTCCTATAGTGATTACACTGAACAGTGGCTCCTTAAAATCATTTATGTTGCAAATATTTTTCTCAGTATTATTATTATTATTATTTTTAAATGTTTTATTTATTTCTAGGAGAGAGAGAGACAGCGTGAGCAGGGGAGGGTCAGAAAGAGAGGGAGCCACAGACTCTGAAACAGGCTCCAGGCTCTGAGCTGGCAGTCAGCACAGAGCCCGACGAGGGGCTCGAAGCCACGAACCGCGAGATCATGACCTAAGCGAAAGTCGGACACTTAACAGACTAAGCCACCCAAGCGCCCCTCTCAGTATTATTTTTTCTTAATTGTGGTTATAGTGCTTTTGGATGTACAGAAGATTATAAGTTTTATTGGCCAATGATATCAATCTTTTAAAAATTATTTGTGTCACGCTAAGAAAGATCTGTGCCACCACAAGCTTATAAAAATGCTAATCTACATTGTTTTCTATATCTTCCATGATTTTATTTCTTTTTGCTTAATCTTCCTCTGCTTTAAATTTTTTTTTTTACATTTATTTAATTTTGAGAGACAGAATGAGACAGAACACGGGTGGGGGAGGGGCAGAGAGAGAGAGAGAGACAGAATCCGAAGCAGCTCAGAGCTTGAAGCAGGGCTTGAACCCACGAAGATCATGACCACATGAGATCATGACCTGAGCCAAAGTCAGACACTTAACTGACTGAGCCACCCACGTGCCCTGATTTCCCTCCACTTTAGAGCGTGGTATGATACAGGGCTATCACTTTTTTTTTTTCTTCGAAACAGTTAGCAAACTGTTCCATCATCATTTATTAAATAATCTCTCCTCTCTCCTCTCATTGGACTTGCTGCCTGGATTCTTCTTACACATGTTTGGATCTCTTCATTGATTTTTCTTCTTTGATTATTCCTGAACCAGATTCACTTATTTATTTACTGTACCTTTTAAAATAGATTTTAACAACTGCTAAGGGAAGAACCTATCACTGCTCTTGATTTTCAAAATGTCCCTGGCTGACTTTACTCATTTTTCTTATACTAGAGATACATTTGAATCATCATATCAGGATCCTCCTCCCTGAAACAACAAAAAAAACCACACGGTGATTTTAATTGGAATTACACCAGCGTTAGAGATTTATTTATCATTCAATCTTAACATTTTTTTAAAATATTTATTTTTTGAGAGAAAGAGAGAGACAGAGCATGAGTGGGAGAGAGGCAGAGAGGGAGGCACAGAATCCCAAGCAGGCTCTAGGCTCCGAGCCGTCAGTACAGAGCCCAACGTGGGGCTCGAGCCCACAAACCATGGGTCATGGATCATGACCTGAGCCAAAGTTGGGACACTTAACCATCTGAGCCTTCCAGGTGCCCCTCATTCAATCTTCCTTTTCAGGATGTGGTATGCTCTTCCTGTCACTCAAAGCTTCTTTTTGTCTTTGATAAAGCTTTTTTTTTTTTTTTTTAAAACACCTGTATATGCACCGCCCACCCAACCCCAAACATGCACAATCACTTATATGTACGTATGGTGCCTCCATTTCTTGGACTTGGGTGAAATTTATTGTTTTATTGAAATACTCCACATTTCTTCTCTGGTTAAACCTGAGGTTGAATATGTTTTGTTGCTGTCATGAATAATACTGTTCTCATTACTTTAAAAACTATTGCAATTGCTCGTTATGTATTTGTATTGATAATGATCTTATTTAATTTTCCCTTGAGTTATATACATTTTTAGGAGATTCTCTTGAGTTTTGAAGGGGAGCAATATTTCCTCTCAAAACACATTACTTAAAAATTTTGTTAATATTTATTATTGAGACAGAAATAGAGCATAAGTGAGGGAGAGGCAGAGAGAGAGACACAGAATCTGAAGCAGGCTCCAGGCTCTGAGCTGTCAGCATAGAGTCTGGTGTGGGCCTCGAACCCCACGAACTGTGAGATCATGACCTGAGCCGAAGTCGGACGCTTAACCAACTGAGCCACCCAGGCGCCCCTCAAAACATATTATTTAAAAGCAATTTCAAACTTGCAGCAAAATTGAAAGAAAAAACAAATCCTCGTATGTTCACTGAAATTCACCAATCATTAATATCTTGTCAAATTTGCATTCTCTCTTTCCTCCTCTTCCTCTATATCTGTATCTATCTATACACAGATATATATATACACACACATATATATATGTACTTTTTTATTGCTACTGCTGAATTGTTTTGCTAAACAATTTGAAAGGAAGCTGTAGACATCATCCTCCAGCCCAGGGGTTAACAAGCTATTTTCTGTAAAGGTGCAGATAGCTAATATTTTAGGCTTTGTCGGCTATACAGTCTCTGTCACAACTACTCAACCAGGCTGTTGTAGCACAAACACAGCTACAGACAATATGTAAGCAAATGGGTGTGGCTGTTCTTCAATAAGACTTTATTTTAAATAATAGACAGAGGGCGGATCTGGGCTGGGAGCTCTAGTCTGCTGACTCTTGATCACACCCTGTGTACCTCAGTGTACATCTCCCAGGACTGACGACCTTCCCCCGTGTAGCCACGACTATCATGATCACACCTGTTGAAATGAACAACAATTCCATTAATACTTTCAAAAATCCAATCAATCCATAGTGGAAAGATGTTTAGTTTGTATCGTTGGATTTTGCATATGATTGTTCAAGTCTGTTGGACAAGAAGACCAATACTGTCTGTGTATCCCTAACAGCAAGAATACCTGTTCTAATCTCTGGCTTCCCATTCCCCAGAGGTGGGCTGCGTCCCAGACACTGGGACGGTGGCTCCTTGGAGCTGGGGTCCCTGGGCTCAGTTCACAAGGAGATTACAGAAGCATGAGTTTCCAGAGATTTTCTGGTTGAACTTCTCCTTGAGAACTTCAGTGAGACAGAGATGATAAATTGTGGGGCGCTCTGTGTGGGGGCTCCCGTTGGTTTGGTAAAGCCATGAGGTACGCTAAGGAACCCCAACGCAGGCTTTCGGTGTTACTTCCAAAGAAGGCTAAGGTAATTACATGTTTGCTTTTGTTTTAAACATTAACTTGCTGAATGTGAATGTTTAAACTTCAATACTCATAGTGATCCTGATTTGGTATGTCTGCATTTTGGGGAGCCTCAGATAGGCAAGTAGCATCTGTGAGGCCCTGGCGGGGCTCATCAGGACAATGTCTGACAGGAACACCAGCGAACTCCAGGACTCTGGAGTGGGAAGGTCCAGGTTTATAAGCTAGAATATTTTCTGTCAGAGCTGTCTATAAATGAACTGCCCTTGCATTGTGATGAGCTCCTCAACACAGCACTGTTTTAGCTTGGGCTGAAGTGGCATCTGAAAAGTTTCTGTGGTGGATTAAATATGGCCGGCGGCAAGTTATTTGAGAGGTGGGTTTATTTCCCTTCCCCTGAGTCTGCTCTGGCCTTGTGGCTAGGTTTGATCTGTAGAGTGCAGTAGAAATGACTGTGTAACTTTCGAGGACAGGATATAGGAGATTTGTAGCTTCAGCCCCTCATGGAATGCTCACTTTTGGAAGCTGCTCCTGTGAGAAGCCCTACATCCTTAGACCACCACTCCGTAAGGAAACCCAGGCAAAGCAGGCTGAGAGAAAGGGGCTATGTGGGGGAGCGCTGAGGCACCAGACTGTGAAGAAGGCTTGGTTCTTCCCTTCAATGACCCTAATCAGGCAATTGACCTTGGATGTCTCAGATTAACCAATAGAACCACAAGCAAATAAGATGGTGGTTGTTTTGAGCCATGATGTTCTCCGGTAGTTTGTTACCTGGTAATAGATAACCAGATCAGCTTTGCCAAAGGGATTTATGCACTGGATTAGAGATTGGCTTAGATAATTTTTATTGTCTTTCAACAGCTGAGATTCAAACCTGATGTGAGGCTTCCATACAGGCATACACCAACAGCGTTCATTTAATTTCATACTTATTTTCCTTTTCCCTGAGAACCTAAGTGTAGGT